AAAATGGAACGCTTTGGGGGAGGTGGGAGCCCTGGTTCCCACGGAGGAATGCGTCATGGAATCTGACAATTGCAAGCCCGGTGTGACGTCAAATCAGGCATGGGAGCGCGGCCATTGATTCTCGCGAAATTCGGCACGGAGTTTCGTATAATTATCCGTCATTGATTACATTAACTTAGGGTGTCGTTTCATGAAATAAAATGGCCTATGTTAGTCATTAGGCTCCCGCCAGATCTAAAGATCACAAGATCTTAAGAACTTCCGGTTTTCACCGGACAATCCCTTTAAGATAAGTAACAGGAACGGGTTCTTTTTAAAAAAAAAATGGAACTTGTAACGGGAACTCGTTTTAAGATTGACGAGAAACAAAGAACCAGCTTTCGTTTCTGTTTTGAAGAAACGTGCACAACACCGCACCCGAGTCTCATTTGAAGAAAACGGAGGCACTACACTGCCACACGTCAAAATGTAATGTTTTTTTTTTTTATTATTATTATCGAATTCCATTAAATGATTGACGAATAGGCTTGGAGTCACGCGTCACCGCGCTTCACCAGGATTGATGCCTTCCGATTGGCCCATCAGATAATGTCATTCGATGAAAAATGCCTTGAATTTTGCCGTGTGACAGGCAAAGGTACTACCAATTCATTTAGTAAACCCGAGACAGGAGTGATAAAAAACGGACAGAACAACGAAGTCTCGAACGCAGCTTTTCACGGCTTCGTTGTCCTGCCCGCCTTATAATCTTATTGCTTTGTCTCGGTCTTACTATGGATGTCATTCACCAGCTCGCCGGCGCTTTTGTCCCTTTCTTCGGCATCACCTATATTGCTGCGTTGTAACATTGACGGAATCGAGCAGTATTGTTGTGAATTGAAGTATCGTTACAGCTTAGATGCGTTGTGTTGAGGTCACGCTGAAACTTGGCTGATTCGTTGCGTAGATTGTGCACGAATATACAACGTCCGCCAGATCCGGCAGTGTTGGCACTACGGGAAGAAACGGCTTTGTGGCTCACCTGCGAGAGAAAAAAAAAAAAAACAAAGAAGGATTAGCGAGGTTGACGTTAGCTGAACCATTTTTGGTATAGTGAGCTTACGAATTTCGTTTACAGCGGAGCTATGAAGGGCTAGTTTTCCCAAGATCGCGTCCCCCGCAAAGAAATGAAGACACCGAACTCTGGACACCTACCGCCATCTATGAGCGACGGCGGCAAGCCACGTATCTGGTTGCCACCGTCGCTCATAGATGGCGGCAGCCTTTCCACTCTGGCTTGTCGACTTGCGGCCGGCCATTACTTTCCATCGTACAATTCCGCTGGTCTTCCTTCTTCCCCTGAGCGGAAAAGCTTAAAGTTTCTTCTTCCTGCTGTGGCCAAAGTTATACCAGCTCCCCTACCAAATATTTTTGTTTGTGTTTAGTTAGAACACGTATGTCACTAAAACACGTTGCCCGAGGCTTTTTTTTTTTTTCTTTCTCGCGCCATATTTAGGTAGCGAGAGTTATGTTTTTGTGTTTGACATTTGCGCTTCTATTTCGGGTTCACGCGCCGAAATTGAAGCCCTCTCTGAAACACTCCTCGCTCAAAATGAGTCTCAAAGGCTAAATATTGTTGAACTGTTGTGTTGTTGCTGTTTCTTTTTTTTTTTTTTTTTTTTTTTTTTGCATTTAGAAAAAAAAATTAATGGGGCGACTTCGGTGTTTTAGGAACGATTCTAAAACGTGCATCTATTTCAGGTGGACGTGCCGAAATATCAAAATCGTTCCCAACTCAAAATATGCCTCCCGACGTAAATATTGCGGTAGAATTTTCTTTTTCTTTGTTGGGGAAAGCTTATTTTGTGAGATACGTGTCAAACCCACAAACTTAAATGCCGATGTACAATGGGCGCGTTCCACTTTTGCCCTCCTCCTTCTTTCCTATATCCTCTCCACGTTTTACCTTGTCCCCTCCCCCTGCAGCTTAGGAGACGGGAGCGCTAACAGAATTAATTATCTTTTCAGCGGAAAACCGAGGTTGTACGTCGGCCGTTAATAAAAAAAAAAAAAAAAAAAAAAAGGGCTTTCGGTGGGTCAGACCTCCTTTATACAGTTTCGGCGTCCGATTTCCCACTGAAAACGAGCAAACATAAAAACATTTCCTGATATAAAAAAAGAGGGCGTGGCCGGTTATGATTATCACATTGCCAAAGGGTATCCGATGACATCACAGCATGAAGAGTTCAAAAAGTGCAAAAAGTACCAGAAAAGAAGCGAAAAAGGAAAAAAAAAAAACAGATGTTGTGTCGTTCTGCAGTTTTTTTTTGTTTTTTTTTTTTGTTAATTGTCAAGATGAGGGGAACCAGCTTGCTTTCAATTACCTTTCATTAAAATCAACTCAACAGACAGCTAGGGTGAAAATAGATATGCCTCAATCACTGACAATTACAAGAGACACTATACAATCCGCCATGTCACGCTATCGCTTTATTTCGTGACAAGCTATCGACTTATGCAACATCTGCAACATCAGTAATCATACTATCCCGAATGTTCCCGCTTAAAAAAAAAACAATTCATTCTCCACAAAAGTTCCACGTTCTACACGTGCCTAGTTTTTTCACATGGCTCCTCAATTTTCACGAAAACCTTCACAAAGATAGGCAACCGCAGGACACAGATTAAACACGAGCGCTGAGTCAGCGTTTGGTATGAACTCGTGTTTACTGAGTGAGGACACGAGTGGCATTAAGTAAAACGCGGATGCCGCTGTTCAACTTCCGCCCATGGTGGCGTCAGTGACGCAGGGAAAGTTTGCGGGTTCCCCTTCCCCTCGTCCCTACCTTCCCCTTCACTTTTTGGTACAGAACAATGTAAATGGATTCTGTTACAACAAAAAAAATCTGGCGTTCGCGTACACTCTACGAAATAGAGGGCGTATAGGGATACGCCAACTTGTCCCATATGTAACTCCCCAAAACCACACTTCGACGTCCAGTCCACAGACGTCGAACCGACGATACCAACTTTCAAGAGCGGCTTGATAGTTGACCGATACAACTTTATAAAATAGCTAATGTACTCATTAAAGGCTACAGTAAGGCAATCAAGGTTTTTATGGCCCTGCTGCAAAACCTCTGTGTTTTTTTTTTCTTCTAGTCTTTGATAAGGGGTGTTTAACGTGCACCACGCAGTAGTGATACACGACCGCACGCCGGTATACGATGTTCATCAAAATCAAAACAGGGGAGGAGGGGGGGGGGGGGGGGGGAGTGAATTCAGGATACCGCGGTTCTGCAGTGCGAACTTTCGCTCTGCTCCGAGCTCGGACGCACTAACACCCTATAGCCACCGATTTCCCCACATTCTGTGACAATAAAAGTCAACTGTTTGAGACTTGTTTCCTTCTTCCTGCCATTTCTTTTTTTTTTTTTTTATCAATACCCGGCCGATTGAATGAAAGCAATCCGCTTTCCAAAGACGTTGCCATGCCGACAATTATCGCGTTCATTTAGGCTTAGGCATGGAGGGAATCGAAAGATCACAAAAATGCGGCATTGCCATTACCCATACTTTGCGATTTAAGCGAGCTAAGGCAAAGCGAAAGCCTCCTGCAACATTCGTTGCTGACTAACGTGCCCGATATTGCAGCTACAACTAGAGTCACTAAATAACGCTTTCAGAGTACCGGATTCCTTTTCTTTGGCACTTTGCCGACAATGCAGTCGCTCTATCCAACAATATTCTGGTTCGCTGCGGCATCATTGGACAGCGGCAGTCACGTGGGTCACTATCATCATCATCGCGTTTTCTCGACGCCACCATCTTGGGTCCGCGCACGTTGAAGCGTTGAAGTCCGTTTCTCAGCACGCGCGTTTTCCGTGAGATACGAACAACACGACCTTGATTCGAGTTGATATGCGTGCTTAGTTCAGGGTTTCCTCAGTATTCCGCATGGCATCCAATTCAAAGCGTAGCTTTGCCCGTGGCATACGAAGAACCGATGCCGCGGAGGTTCGCGTTTGGATCTCGACGTATAAGCGCGAGACCGCTACCGTGTGAAGCATCTAAAGTGTCGCCGTGTAGTTTGTGCAACAATGCCTGCTTGCTGTGCGTTCGGGTGTGCCAACAGGTCAGAGAATGGGAAAAGACTCTTCCGCATTCCGTTGGGAAAGGGCGCGACAGCGAGACGTAAAGCATGGTTAACCGTTGTGAACCGAAAAGATTTCAAGCCCGGCGCGGGAAGCAAGCTTTGTGAGGTGAGTGCGTTTAGCAGCTGTTCTGCTCCGCGTATCGCTTTGAAAGTCCTCAACCATCGCTGACTGAACGGGAGAGCGGCTACTTCAGGCTTTTATTATAATGCCTTCTAGGATCACTTCGAGCAGTCTCAGTTCGAAAACCACCGAGCCGATGGCAGGAAGCTGCTTAAACAAGATGCAGTGCCTACTATTCTTGGCTCCGGGCGTAACTCAAACGAGCGAAAACGCAACAGAAAGATGCCAGTGAAGCAAGTTTCAGCCTTTCTGTCAGGTATGTGAAAAAAAAAAAAAAAAATAGAGATTACGAGTGGCACTGACGTGCTTTTGTTGAACCGTGTTGGTAACTGACACTCCCTGAAATAACCTTTCAGACACCGTGCGGACAGACTCTCCCGCCTCTGACTGCCACAAGACCTTGAGCCCAGAAAGCGCAACAGGTTACAGTGAAAGTAAGTCTGCCTCCACAGTTTCTGTGCACATCAAATAGCTGTCATGATTTAGGGTGGCCCAACACCGCTTATGTGTAGTCCTGTTTGCTTCCCATCTTCTGTGCAACACATTAACACGCGCACTTTGCGCAGGAAACCCTGACGGAGCTGTCTCGGGCTGCACAGTTGAGACTCCGAGCAACACTGCCACGTTGGAAGGTTGGGAAGGCACTCTGTTCTTTTGTTTGTGTTTTTTCTCTCCATGCAATAACCTTTCCAGATGCCATGTCGACAAACTCTCACGCCTCTGACTGCCACGAGACCTTGAGCCCAGGAAGCGCAGCGGGTTACAGTGAAAGTAAGTCTGCCTCCACAGTTTCTCCGCACATCAAATAGCGGTCATGATTTAGAGGGGCCTGACACCGTTTATGTGTAATCCTGTTTGCTTCCCATCTTCTGTGCAAAACATTAACACGCACACTTTGCGCAGGGAACCCTGACAGAGCTCTCTCGGGCTGCACAATTGAGACTCCGAGCGACAGTGCCGTGTTGCAAGGTTAGGAGGGCGCTGTGCTCTTTTGTTGAGCTGTGTTGGCAACTGCCTCTCCCTGCAATAACCTTTCCAGATGCCATGTCGACAAACTCTCACGCCTCTGACTGCCACAAGACCTTGAGCCCAAGAAGCGCAGCGGGTTACAGTGAAAGTAAGTCTGCCTCCACAGTTTCTCCGCACATCAAATAGCTGTCATGATTTAGAGGGGCCTGACACCGTTTATGTGTAATCCTGTTTGCTTCCCATCTTCTGTGCAAAACATTAACACGCACACTTTGCGCAGGGAACCCTGACAGAGCTCTCTCGGGCTGCACAATTGAGACTCCGAGCGACAGTGCCGTGTTGCAAGGTTAGGAGGGCGCTGTGCTCTTTTGTTGAGCTATGTTGGCAACTGACTCTCCCTGCAATAACCTTTCCAGATGCCATGTCGACAAACTCTCACGCCTCTGACTGCCACAAGACCTTGAGCCCAAGAAGCACAGCGGGTTACAGTGAAAGTAAGTCTGCCTCCACAGTTTCTCCGCACATCAAATAGCTGTCATGATTTAGAGGGGCCTGACACCGTTTATGTGTAATCCTGTTTGCTTCCCATCTTCTGTGCAAAACATTAACACGCACACTTTGTGCAGGGAACCCTGACAGAGCTGTCTCGGGCTGCACAATTGAGACTCCGAGCGACAGTGCCGTGTTGCAAGGTTAGGAGGGCGCTGTGCTCTTTTGTTGAGCTATGTTGGCAACTGACTCTCCCTGCAATAACCTTTCCAGATGCCATGTCGACAGACTTTCAGCCCTCTGACTGCCACGAGACCTTGAGCCCAGGAAGCGCAGCGGGTTACAGTGAAAGTAAGTCTGCCTCCACAGTTTCTCCGCACATCAAATAACTGTCATGATTTAGGGGGGGCCTGACACCGTTTATGTGTAATCCTGTTTGCTTCCCATCTTCTGTGCAAAGCATTAACACGCACACTTTGCGCAGGGAACCCTGACAGAGCTCTCTCGGGCTGCACAATTGAGACTCCGAGCGACAGTGCCGTGTTGCAAGGTTAGGAGGGCGCTGTGCTCTTTTGTTGAGCTATGTTGGCAACTGACTCTCCCTGCAATAACCTTTCCAGATGCCATGTCGACAGACTTTCACGCCTCTGACTGCCACGAGACCTTTAGCCCAGGAAGCGCAGCGGGTTACAGTGAAAGTAAGTTTGCCTCCACAGTTTCTCCGCACATCAAATAACTGTCATGATTTAGGGGGGGCCTGACACCGTTTATGTGTAATCCTGTTTGCTTCCCATCTTCTGTGCAAAACATTAACACGCACACTTTGCGCAGGGAACCCTGACAGAGCTCTCTCGGGCTGCACAATTGAGACTCCGAGCGACAGTGCCGTGTTGCAAGGTTAGGAGGGCGCTGTGCTCTTTTGTTGAGCTGTGTTGGCAACTGACTCTCCCTGCAATAACCTTTCCAGATGCCATGTCGACAGACTTTCACGCCTCTGACTGCCACGAGACCTTGAGCCCAGGAAGCGCAGCGGGTTACAGTGAAAGTAAGTTTGCCTCCACAGTTTCTCCGCACATCAAATAACTGTCATGATTTAGGGGGGGCCTGACACCGTTTATGTGTAATCCTGTTTGCTTCCCATCTTCTGTGCAAAACATTAACACGCACACTTTGCGCAGGGAACCCTGACAGAGCTCTCTCGGGCTGCAGAATTGAGACTCCGAGCGACAGTGCCGTGTTGCAAGGTTAGGAGGGCGCTGTGCTCCTTTGTTGAGCTGTGTTGGCAACTGACTCTCCCTGCAATAACCTTTCCAGATGCCATGTCGACAGACTTTCACGCCTCTGACTGCCACGAGACCTTGAGCCCAGGAAGCGCAGCGGGTTACAGTGAAAGTAAGTTTGCCTCCACAGTTTCTGGGCACATCAAATAGCTGTCATGATTTAGGGGGGCCCAACACCGTTTATGTGTAATCCTGTTTGCTTCCCATCTTCTGTGCAACACATTAACACGCACACTTTGTGCAGGAAACCCTGATGGAGCTTTCTCGGGCTGCACAGTTGAGACTTCGAGCAACACTGCCACGTTGGAAGGTTGGAAAGACTTTTGTTTGTGTTCTTACTCTCCCTGCAATAACCTCTCCAGATGCCATGCCAACTGACTATCCCGCCTCTGACTGCCACGAGAGTAATTTTCAGCTAACTCGCACACCTCGATTATGTGACTTATCTGTTTGCGAAATCGAGCTTCTTTCTGACAGACAGAATGATACTACTTAAACTCAGCCAAATGGTTCTAGCCGGCAGCACGGAGACGAATGTGGACAAACTGAAGAGAGTCTTCATTGGAGATTCACGCAGAACCTCTCTGCATTGAGCTTGACTTAAAATCGTGAACGGAGAAATTGAGTATTTTTTGTGGCCTGACAACCTGAGCAATGTAGACCTATACGCAGGGAGCAAGAGAGAACGTCGCAACTTAAGAGGCTCAGACGCTGGTTTGAGCAAGCCGGCCCAGATGTTCAGAACACGTCATATTGCATAGAAACCAAGGGCAGTATAAACCAAGTCAAGGCGCCAACTTCATTGCAAACGGAAAAATGGAGCCGAACCGTGTGTTCACTGCCAAGGAAATGCAGGCTAGGAAGAAGTGTCGAGCGCAGGAAGAACGTCTTCGGTATGAGGCGAAGCATGGTTTCGAACGTGAGCGCATGCTGGCTCATAAACGGGAAGTGGAACAGGGTGGCGGCAGTGAGACAGCAGCGGAACAGGAGAGCGTCGTTTAGGAGTGCACAAGAGTACTTTAAAAAACATTGCGTGCAGGACGAGTTTGATTTTGTTTGCTGTGTGCGCGATAGACCCTGGGTTTTGTTAGATATAAACACAAATGTTGATGTTTCCAATAGATGTATATATAACGCATCACTAGTGTCGTCTTACACCAGTCTCTGAACGACATCAAAATCACCGTCCAAGCAGCGACAATCGTACATCAAAGAAAGCTTTGCTTTTACACCAAATCCCACATGGGGTGGGATTCACATTATTTTTTTCATGTTGCGTTTTATTCAAATCATGTATGTTTTTGCAGATCCCATGGTGTCTAGAGATATTGCTGCAAACTGCCTTGAACAACATCACGAAGAAACAATATCTGAACTCCGTCGTAAGCTTGACCTGGCCAACAAAAAATATCTCAAGCTGTCACGAGAGCTTCAGAATCTTAAAGGTATTAAAGTATTGAGTCTCGTATATGATTGCAAAACAAAAGGCAGCCAATAAATGTTTATTCAACTTTAGTACAAAAATTCTAATTGTAGGACATGGGAAGAAATAGCAGCAAAGAAACTTAGACAAGAGTAAAGGAACAAACACGACAGGACGGCACTGAACTAACAACTGTTGTTTATTATACGAAAAGGGAAAGGAAGAAAACAGGAAGCATCTTAATCAGAAAAAATAGACACACACACACGCCAAAAAGCAGCATATTATGTCACGATAAACCAAAACCAGTGGCTACGTAATGCCCGTTATAGTCAATCGCGGGTACTTGAATTCTTTTTCAGATAACGCCACTGACGGTTCGCTGACCTGCCAAGTTCCGAGATAAAAAGACTTGGTAATTTCCGTTGTCACTCTGCCTCTATGTCTATCCAAAACAGTGACTTCACTAAAATTAGGCTGGCACTTGCAGCCCCTGCAGTGTAAAGGTAGTGGCCCCCCAACTGTGGCCCTGAGTGAATACAAATGCTAAGTCTGTCATTTAGGCAGCAGAGTGACAAGAGAAATTTCCGAGGCCTTTTTCATCTCGGAAGTTGGCAGGAGATGCGTCAGCAAACCGTCAGTGGCGTTACCTGAAAAAAACTTTGGGTACCTGCGATTGACTATGACGGGTATTACGTAGCCACTGATTTGGCCTATCGTGACATAACATGCTGCTTGGCTGGCATTTTTGAGTGTGTCTATATATTTTTATCTGATTAAGATGCTTCTTGTTTTTTTCCTTCCCCCTTTTGCGTAATAAACAACAGTTATTAGTTCAGCGCCATCCTGTCGTGTTTGTTCCTTTACTGCTGTCCAAGTTTCTTTGCTGCTGTTTCTTCCCAAGATGTTCACCTCAAACCAACTAGCGCAACACGTCATATTGTTGTAGAACTTCTTTTTACATCCTTCAGATGACTGTAGAGGGCATCTTGCTGACGACCAGATCCTCTGTATGCAACAAAAAGATATGAGAGGCAACAGATGGTCTGGGGAGACTACCAAACGAGCCTTGCAACTCCGTCTTGCCTGTGGACACAGAGGCTACAACTTCCTTCGAGAAGGATTCCTGCCCTTGCCAGCCGAACGAACTCTCCAGAAAAGGATAGAAGGAGTCAAGTTTCAGACAGGTATGAACAAAAAAATTTTAATGTATTCAAACACGTTTGGCTTCATTACCAAAAATGCAGACAGGTTTTCTTTTCCTTTTACGCAGGGCTTCTTCGAGAACTTCTTCCTGCAGTGGAGTGCAAAGTTGCAACTATGGGTCCCCAAGAGCGACACTGTGTGCTGCTCATGGATGAGATGCAGCTGACACCTGGCCTGGAGTATGACTGCACAACAAAGACCGTGATTGGGCAAACAACTTTGAAAGGCTGCAAGCTGCCGAGCAATGATGGCATCGTAACCTTTGCAACGCATGGGCTGGTGTTTATGCTGGCCGGTCTATCCACAAGGTGGAAACAAGTCATTGGTTACCATTTCACAGGTAAATGTGTCAATTTACGGTAATGGATAGATTTTTATGTCTCTTTATTACCATAATCATGTCAGTTACCATTACCATAGTCATGAAAGTGTAATTTGTCAATGGGGTATCTAATAACTCTCTTCCATTTCAGGCAGTTCTGTGTCATCGGACGACCTGAAAAAGATTGTCTTTGAGATTATTGTGGAGTGCGAGAAAATTGGTCTTGTGGTAGAGGGAATCGTTTCGGACATGGGCGCCTGCAACCAGGGTTTGTGGAAACAGTGTGGAGTGTCGGCAACTCGGCACAGTGATCCCATTGTATCCTGCCCCCATCCGTGTGCTGTTGAGGGAGAGAACAGAGAC